ACACACACACACACACACACACACACACACACACACACACACACACACACACACACACACACACACACACACACACACACACACACACACACACACACACACACACACATACACTAGGACGGACACACACATAGACACACACACACACACACACACATATGCTCATTGATGCAAGCAAATTATACCTCTTTATTTTCCTTCTGATTTTCAGTTTCATTGTCACTAAGAGTTGAATCTGAGTCATCTGAGTCAAAGGACGGGCTATTCATTTTTTGAATCAATGCAACATCATCGAAGAAGGTTGGTATAAGGTGAGTTATATCCTGAAAAGATGGAAAATTCACTTGTGAAATGTTGTATTTGATTCTATCTCTAGCTCTGTATACAATCATTATGATAAAAATAAATAAAACTTTCCCAATAAGATATGTAACTTCTAGAAAATATATATATTATAAAACTGACATTTTCTGGGTTCTATAAGTGAATAATATAACTAAAAATAATAACAAATAAAATCAGAAAAATTTAGTACATACACAAAAAAGAAAGAAAAGGAAAAACATTATTTTCTTACCTCTCCCTCAAGTTCTCTCTTGCCATAGCCAAATAAGAGTCTCGTGAAATTATAGTTGTAATCACTGATTTTCCCTGCAGCATCCAAAACCACCAGTCCACTGATGTTAGAGAACACCTGCAAAAAAGGGTTATATATTCATATCACATTCATATACATATACATACATACATACATATACATATATATATATATTTGTCTCTCTTCATAAATTCTCCAAAATCTCCTTTTTTGAGGGCATGAAAGGATTTAGCATCTTAACATGAGGATGATGATAAAGAAGAAAAAATGAGGCAGGAGGAGGAGGAGGAGGAGGAGGAGGAGGAGGAAGAGAAAAAGATGGGAGAAGAAAACACTTACCCATATTTCTAGATCAAAGACATGTTTTCTTAGGGTGTAATCATTGTGGGTGTTATTGACTGTGAAGTGCGCACAAAGGGGGAACGTAGCACAGTCCACTGTCTGTCCCGTACACTGCTGCTTCTCCACATCCTGTTGTGCATCAAACATATTAGCTTCAGCCTTTGGATAAATAAAATGGTCACATGGGCTACATGAGACTCTTAGTAATGTTTTGAAAATGTAAAAAAAAACAAAAACAAAAAAAAACTAGTGACAATCTGAGATGATACAAATCAATCAATATATTTATTTATTATAATCAATTTTTTCCTGTAGTGTAATATCAGATAACTTCTTAAATATACTAAACATTTTGAAAAAAAAAAGTGTAGACAGAATACTTTTCTGATAGTTTTGAAAATCTACCTAAAGGACTTTTATTTCCAGTTCCTCTACTCTAACATGATCTTTGGAGAGTAACTTAACATTCAGGGATTCTAGTGTTATTTGGGTTACTGAACTTTCCATTATCAAAGCATAAAGAGAAATTTAGAAGAAACTATCAATGTGTGATTAGGAATCTATATCTTTGAAATTACTGGGGAAAATATAAAAAAAAATCACTTTGATCAAGCCCAATACTAGGTGCAGTCATATATATGTGGCAGTATGAAGACTAACTTTGCAAATACAGATTCTAGCATGCAGTTTTTAAGCATTCATTTTAAGTATCCAAGGGTAAAAAAGAACTGTACACACACAAATGTTTAGTTGTTTATCAGAAACATCTGATTAAAGTTACCTGTTATTCCAATTTAAACTTTCCTTCCAACTTGGGGATTACTGCAAAAGTGGGTGTTTACGTAGGGCAAAATAAAGGTGCGTGCAAGTGTTCTCCGTTTATCATCACAATTCATCTAGTCTTATGTTTACGTACTTCCGACCCACATGAGCCCAGCCTCAACTTGCATTAATTTTATCATTTAAAATTAAAACAAAAAAATTCACATAGAGCCGTGCACAATAATGGACTCCAGACTTATCATTACATTAAAGAAGCTCCATTGCCAATAGGTTGCAGAGTTTTCCTGTTGGGACTAAAGAAAATTTTGGTAGTGGATGCAATGGTCTGTGTGACATTGTGTCTCTTTCATACAATGAATGAAGCAACCCTTTCTCACTTACTTGTTGCTACTTAATTTTGATTTTTTTTTTTCCCAGCACATCATTAAGAATTTAAAATTGGCAGCATTACCACTTATCTTTTAAACAAAATAAAGAATATTACATATTTGGGTAATTCCACCTTGATGTAAAAAGTTACAAGAACTGGTTAGTATTAAGTTTTCCTGTAAGTCTGACAGAACCTTAAAACAAATTAAAAGAAAATACAGTCACAATGGGAAGGGAAACCCTAAAACTGGATTACTCATTCCTAATTTTGGCTTCTACATTCCTTTATAACACCGCAATCTCCTTTGTGGCAAATCTGGGCATCACTTACATCACACACATCAATTCTGGTCATCCTTTACCAGACAAATAATCACATACCATTTTCTTTAACACAACATAGGAGGGATCCAGATTATACAAGCCTTTTAAAAGATAAATTTAGCACAGTCACTTACCTTAGGCATGTCATGAGGACTAGTGGGCACCTGGAGAGCAGGTATAAGATCACAAATATTGAGTTTGGTGAGCTCGCTGTTATCTGCATACCCAAAGAGAGCGCTGAACGAAGAGTCATGCTTCAAAATACGGCCTGTTTCATCAACCGATGCCTGAAAAGAGAAAATCAAGCAAAACTCAAGGTACCTATAATGCTATCAGTGTTTTTCTTTTACACCTCAAAATGTAAGACAATTTGAACATTTCTGAAAAGGGGAAAGTTCATTACCTTTGCAACAGTAATGTCTACAGGTTCTAGGACAGCAATCCATCTCTGGTCTTCATCTGTCTCCTGAGGGAGTCCTTTCAGCCATAAGGAACATGGGAGAGTGCCATTGTCGTATGTATCTACATCCACCTGAAAACAAAAGTAATGTGTCAAGAATAATCTACCAAGTAAAAAAAGTCTTTTATGATCAAATTATAAAATCTTAAAATATTTTCAAATATTGTGACTAACTGCCTTACTTTTTTATGCTATAAAGGATAATACATCCACTTTAGTGAATTTGGTCACCATTTCAATTAATAACAAAGAAAAGAAAAGAAAAGAAAAAAGAAATGGAAGGAGGGGGCATATAATCTTTTTTATAACTTAAGTATCTGGATTGCAGCAAATATTACAATCTCTGAGGTTGCAGTGACATGGACTAACATTAAATAATAATAATTAAAAAACAAACAAACATAGTTCACACTCACAACTTTCCCACTAAAGAGCACCATTCCTTGATTGTCTAATATGTCAGGCTCTGGCAGTGTGTGAAGGGAATTCTCCATGCAGATGCCCTCCGACATGGGGCTCAAACTTGCAAGGGAGCTGAGTGCTTTCTGCGTTTCGGGATTGGTAATGAAGTCCGTCAGTTTCATGGTGCCGCACAGCTCATCCTCTGGGTGGCCAAGGAGCAATGAGGACATATCATTTGCTGTCAGGATCTGGAAGGATGGGACAGTTGTTAATATGAGCCCTTGTCTGGCTTCTTTTTATTCCCTTAGGTAATGTGACTAATCTGTATCATTCTGTTAATGATTATTTGATGAGCTTTATGTAATGACTACATATCATTACTATCACCTTCACTCTTAGTTTTCAGTCAAGTTATAAATAAAGTTCATAAATCACATTAAAATCTCCTAATTATGCTAGATAGTATCTTATTCTTAAATGCATGTAGTTTAACCTTGCAATGAAAAAGGGAGCTTTTAAAATGGGTATAATTCTTATATTACTTTCAGAGGTACAACTCATAACATGCCATTCATATCTGAAATTAAATCAATGCCTGAATCATAATATCAACTTTTGCCAAAACTTTTAAGGATTACAAACTTCATTTAATGGTTCCTATTTCTTTTTCTACTCAAGTCATAGAAGTATTAAGTTCCTCCTGAAACTTCAACTTCGTCCACTCTTCCTTATTCTTTGATTACAGTTCAGTTCACAGTGGGATTTTTTTCATGTCAGATATTTTCTATCTCTACACTATTAAAACGTTTCTTCTTTGCCTTCATAATCAAACTAAGACCTTACATAAGGTATCCACTAAAATTCCTAGAAAAGTATATTTCCAACTAAAATACTATTTTCATGGAAATAATCAACACTTAAACTCATGTTACTTGAATTTTATATAAGTAATAGGCATTCATTTATTTATCTATTGATTATTTTTCGAGAATGTCCTCTACAAAATCCAAAGTCTTCATTCACTCAATAGGTTGTGCTGCTAAAACTATGGACAACTATTCATCTTCACAGGATCTTTTAAAAGTCAATAATGGTGTTCAAAATAGGTGCTGAACTGCACTAAATCTATATCAGGAAAGCAGAACTCATGTATTGTGCTGCTAAGTGAAAAAATGGGTTATTATAATACTAAAAAGGTGTGGCACGTGAAATGCAACTATTAAATGGAAATAGTAATCAAAAAAACAAAAAGAAATGGAAGTAACTCTGTAACTTTGCTGGAGACTATAAAACATGCTCTTTAATAAGGGACTGGGGAAAAAATACAGGTTCAGATCTAGACTGTTCATATCAGTATGAAAATAATCAGAGTTTGAAAGTGTGTAATAAATCACCTGTGTCACTGCACACCAACTATATTAATTACAGTGTACAATAACATTACTGTACCTGAAGCAGGATCCTGTTTCAGCAGGGGGGAAAAAGCATGAGACAAGAGATCTTTCAGTTCATGCTTTTTAGAATTTTGCAACGTCTTTTCAATTGATATTACTGCAAATTGCAAGAAGGCAAACACCCAGGAATAAAAGACCTCCCTTCCTCCCCTACAGCTGAACTAATGGGCCTAGGTTTTATTCTGCCCCACTTCTGCTCTGCACTTTTAGATATGTACTGTTTCCTATCTCAAGAACACAGCACGCTCGAACTTCGGGAACACGCTTG